TTGTGGACATGTTTGCATTTATCCATTTGGCTTGTACCTCAGTTATTTGCACGGTGAATACAGAGGATGCTGCTGTGTGCTCCATCTCAGCGCTGTCAAATGCTCTCTGTCTCCACCTGCTGGATTTACTCACCACTGACGCTACACCTATATCACTATCAAATGAATTGAAATTCTGCATGTTTAAAGGCCGTCATCTGTTACCTTTGAATGGCTGTGGTAACATTCGGGGAGGAAGTATGCTGAGTAAGTTGTTCATATTCTTAAACTCTTCAACCCGTGTTCAATACCTGATCAACCTGAGGGGGGAGCTGTTCTGTGGCCTGTGCAGAGCTGTGGCAGGAGAGGCAGCTGATTAAAGCCAACATTTGATCCTTGTGTCAGTATTCAGATGATTCACACTCACACATTTCCATGGTAAATCAGTACTTTCAGTAAGAAGTTCTGTAAAAGCTTAAAAATAGAACACAGCTTACAAGGTTTGGTCTCTGATACATCATCCTGTAAAGCTTGAAATGAATCAACTTTAGCCTACTCACTGATTTATCTTCCTTGCTTGCTTTTATCTTTCTCTTTTTATTAATGAGGTATTTGAGAAAGATAACTTTCATAAAATGACTGGACAAACCTCATACCCTATATTTGACTTGGCAGTCGTATCTGTGAATACATCAGGCTCCTCTCTACTTCTAAAAACAAAAGCACATTTTCTTGATATTATTCCACATAGTCCTGATCACTAACAACAATAAGAAAAAAAGTACTTCTCTTGTCAGTTGGGCACACTCACGTCTGAGTCTGGGGTAATGGTACTTAAGAGATCCAATTATCAGAGAATAGGATTTTGTCAAAATAAATGACAACAGAAATGTCTCTCCCTTCTCATTAAACTGTGTTTAATTATTCAGCGTGCTGTGCTATCAATTTTAAACATGCCCCAAGTCCACTGGCAAATCTTCTGAGGGATTGTTAGGCTTCTTAACAGTGCTCCAGTTTCTCTGTGAAAATGTTTTTTAACAGACATAAAATATGCTTCTCTAAAGAAATCTTTCATTTATGGATACAGCAGACTAAAATGGAATGATTTATGCAAGGAAATAGCCACATGCATGGATGCATCGCCCTGCTGTCGTTCTAGTGGGGCCTTAGTGGTTCAATACAGTGGTTGTCAAACTATAGGGCCCACCTGGGTTCTTGAAAGGTCCCTCGGGGCCTCGGTTTAAATGCAGATCAGAGTGACTGTGCTATATTAGCATTTAGTGATGACTTGCTGGGTGAGATTGTGACCAGAGCACTCACACTCTGTCGTACACCTGCGGTAGACAGAGACAATACATTTCAAACAGAAAGGTAGGCTATATATCAATCTTTATTTTCTACACACATAATAAGCTAAAGTCAACTTTATTGTTGATTCTGCAGCATGACATAGATGGGATTGAAATGCTATATCTCTCTTATCCCTGGTGTAACATCTACCTAGACATCCAAGCACTCAACATATAAGTATCATAACATATTAGTGCTGAACATATACAAGCGACATATATGTACACAACCTCTATGTAACTACACAGTCAAAAAGGCACAGGGTAGCAAGGACATGAACTCCAGTGTATGATTGTGGTGCAAACCAGAATACTTAATGGCTAATGTGGAGATGATATACAGTTGTAACAGTTTACAATCAACATAACAGTAATATGTCATATTCTGTTTATATTCTAGTTTTGTTCAACAGCTCTTCATTTCTGCTTTTTACTGATATTTACATTCCTAATAATTTCCCTTTAAGCTTTATTATAACTGACTGTAGATAGTCAGCTTGTGCCCAGATGACTGTAATCACAGCACAAAGCAAATGTTGTTCAACAGTCTTGTATGTACTGCAGTCATATGTTCATTCTGAGGACTGCTGTGTTTATTTGCAGCTTCTGTAAGCAGCATGTTAGTAGATATGCAGTACAGTCTCACTGCACTCAGAGGACCGAGAGCAGAGAAACATGATGAAATCATTTGAGTAGCAAAACACTGTACATCTGTATAAGGCTAACTACTGTAGCTAACTACTGTAGCTCACTACGATCGCACTCCAGACCACATGGGGGCAGGAACACGCTTTGCACCAGTTCTCACTCACACCGAGCAAAATCAATATATCAATTGATGATGCGTTCAAGTAGTGTCGCAATAATCGGAAAAACAATGTCCGACTTGGAAAAATGACGTGAACGCCACCTCAGATCTGAGCAACTCTCGGAAAGACGTCGAGAGGTTCGGTACACGAGTAAACAAGTTACTGACATCACTTACAAACCAATAGACATAACCAGATCTATATTCAGCAGCTTTTAATGTAAACTTGTCAACTGACCCTCACTCCAAAACACTTAACATCACCTTTTAGAAAACAACCGTTTTTTATAATAAGCATACATTTGTTTAAAATGAAGTATGTGTCAGTCACACCTGGTGATCACGCTCCAAACATATAAAACAACGACATACAACACACATTGAGTTTCCAGCCTTTTGTCTGCACATTCAGAACACGCTGGGATCTTCCGAGGAGCACGTGAATGTACAGAGAAGGACGAAGACAGCGGGAGCACAACACGTGATAAAACTACTGAGAGGGGGCGTGCCTCTGAATCCGCCTGTCAATCGTGCTGTTCATATTCAATTAGAAAACCCAAATTGGAACATTTAAAAACAAGTCATTGTTTCGTTATTCATTTATGAACGTGTTTTTCGTAGTCAACATTTTGTGCCCAGTACAACACGAGACACGCAGTCTCACAGTGAAAATGACCGGAGCGACACACAGACATGATCCGACACCATCGACTTAATAACTCAACACACGATCGTTTGTTTCTAAATCATCCCAGTAAACAATCAACTATGAACGTGAACTCATTTTCCTGAACTGGCACAACACTGACCAGCGATGCTCTGAAACGAGGTAGAAGATTTAGTGTGTGTGTGTGTGTGTGTGTGTGTGTGTGTGTGTGTGTGATCCCTGTGTGTGCACGACCTTAAGAGAAAAAGACATGTATCGGACACAGAACTGGAGCGGGCTGTGATCGGATCATAGAATCGGATCCATACATGAGGTGAGGGTCGGGTGTGTTACTGGCACGCTAGATGAGTTATCCACGCTGATACTTTAAATATCTAAATATTAAATATCAAAATCAAGTTTTTCTCATTTCCTATTTTTGATCTGAGCAAAATAATCCATACAACGAGAAACAACCCGTTTTGTTGGTATGAGATTCATAAATGAATAAAGAAATAATGACTTGTTTTTTAATTTTCCGGTTTTGGTTTTCTAATTGAATATGAAAAGAACAAAAGACACGCAGATTGTGTCTCTGCCTCTTTATATACAGTCTGAGGCCTCGACTAATAAATGTTCGTCTACACATACGAAGGTAGGAACAGATGACAGCAGCGTTTACACAGACCGAAGCCTCAGACGCTCCGCACGGTCCTGAGAGGTGATACAATCTGTTTTTAAAGAGGAGGAGGTGATACAATCTGTATTTGAAGAGGAGGAGGTGATATAAACTGTATTTGAAGAGGAGGAGGTGATATA